GAAAACTGGATATCCATATGCAGAGAATGAAACTTGACCCGTTTCTCACCATATACAAAAATAAAATCAAAATGGATTAAAGATTTAAATCCAACAACTCAAATTATAGAACAACTATAAGAAAACACTGAAGAAAATATCCAGGGCACTGGTCTGGACAGAAATGTGAGTAATACCCCACAAGCACAGGCAACCAAAGCAAAAACGGAAAAATGGGATTATAGTACATTAAAAAGCCTTCTGCACAGCAAAGGAAATAATCAACAAAGTGAAGAGACAACCCAGAGAATGGGAGAAAATATCTGCAAACTACCCATATGACAAGGGAGTCATAATCAGAATATACAGGGAGTTCAAACAGCTCCACAGGAAAAAATCTAATCAGATTTAAAAATGGGCAAAAGATCTGGTACACATTTCTCTAAAGAAGACATTTAAATGGCAAACAGGCATATAAAAAGGTGCTCAAAATCACTGATCATCAGTGAACTGCAAATCAAAACTACAATGAGATATCATGTCACCCCAGTTAAAACGCGTTTTATCCAAAAGACAGGCAATAACAAATGCTGATGAGAATGTGGAGAAAAGGGAACCCTTGTACAGTTTAGGTGGCAATGTAATTAGTACAACCACTATGGAGAACAGTTTGGAGGTTCTTCAAAAAACTAAAAATATAGAGCTAATGTATGATCCAGCAATCCCATTGATGGATACAGACCAAAAATAAGAGGAGTCAGTATTGTCATGCGCATCCGTGTGAAGAGACCAAGCAGGCTTTGTGTGAGCAATAAAGCTTTTTAATCACCTGGGTTCAGGCAGGCTGAGTCCGAAAAGAGTGTCAGTGAAGGGAGATAAGGGTGGGGCCATTTTATAGGATTTGGGTAGGTAAATGAAAATTACTGTCAAAGGGGGTTTGTTCTTTGGCGGGCAGGAGTGGGGGTCGCAAGGTGCTCAGTGGGGGAGTTTTTGAGCCAGGAAGAGCCAGGAAAAGGAATTTCACAGGATAATGTCATCACTTAAGGCAAGGACCTGCCATTTTCACTTTTTGTGGTAGAATGTTGTCATCAGTTAAGGCAAGGACTGGCCATTTTTACTTCTTTTGTGGTGGAATGTCATCAGTTAAGGCAGGGCAGGGCATTTTCATTTCTTTTGTGATTCTTCAGTTACTTCAGGCCATCTGGGCATATATACGTGCAAGTCACAGGGGATGCAATGGCTTGGCTTGGGCTCAGAGGCCTGAGAAGTACACTACAGAGATATCTGCACGCTCAAGTTGCAGCACTCTTCACTGTCGGGGAAAATTCACCCCCAATAATTCATGTAGGTTCTTTTCTATGTCCATAAGTGTCACCTCGTCTGAGAAATAAACGGAAAGAGTACAAAAGAGAGAAATTTTGAAGTTGGGTGTCCGGGGGAGACATCACATGTCGGCAGGTTCTGTGATGCTCCCTGAGTTGTAAAACCAGCAAGTTTTTATTAGCAATTTTCAAAGGGGAGGGGAGCACACGAATAGGGTGTGGGTCACAGAGACCACATGCTTTAAGGGCAACAAAAGATCATAAGGTCAGGGTGAAACTAGAATCACATGAACTTCCATGTCCAGCTGTGCACACATTGTCATTGATAAACAAGGTTCAAGAGCAGAGAACTGGTCTGACTAGAATTTGCCAGGCTGGAATTTCCTAATCAATAGCAAGCCTGGGGGCGCTGCAGGAGACTAGGGTGTGTTTCATCCCTATTTACATCTGCATAAGGCAGGCACCCCCAGAGCAGCCATTCAGAGACCTCCTCTGGGAATGCATTCTTTTCCCAGGGCTGTTAATTAATATTCCTTACTGGGGAAAGAATTCAGTGATATATTTATCTTACCCATTTTTTGGTAATAAGATAAATATGGCTCTGTTCTGCCCGGCCCACAGACAGACTTTAATCTCCCTTGTTCCCTGAAAATCGCTGTTATCCTGTTCTTAAGGTGCTCAGATTTCATATTGTTCGAATACACATGCTCTACAAACAACTTGTGCAGTTAACACAATCATCACAGGGTCCTGAGGTGACATTCATCTTCAGCTTACGAAGATGATGGGATTAAGAGATTAAAGACAGGCATAGGAAATCACAAGAGTATTGATTGGGGAAGGGATAAATGTCCATGAAATCTTCATAATTTATGTTCTTCAGCTGTGGCTTCAGTCAGTCCCTCCATTCGGGATCCCTGACTTCCCGCAGCAAGTCACAATACCAAAGTTATGGAATCAGCCTAAGTGTCCATCAATAGATGAATGGATAAAGAAAATGTGGTATACAATAAAGTACTATTTAGATATAAAAAAGAATGAGATCCTGTCATTTGCAACAACATGGATAGAACTGGAAGTCAGTATGTTAAGTGAAATAAGGAATGAACAATACCTAGTATTTCATAGCACAAGGTGACTATAGTCAGTGACTGTACATTTTAAAGTAACTAAGTATAACTGGATTGTTTGTAACACAAAAGATAAATGTTTGAGGGGATGGATAGCCCATTTTCCATGAGATGATTATTACACCTTGCATGCCTGTATTAAAATTATCTCATGTACCCCATAAATATATACATCTATGTACCCACAAAAATTAAAAATTTTTAAATGAGATTTAGGTTGGTGTTAGTGATTTAGGAGTAGAGCTAATATTTGAAGCAACAGACATGTAATCTGAGAGTCCTGAGGATGAAATCCCCGAGAACATCATATTTTTTAAGTGGGGGTGGGGAGAAAATTTATAATCTAAAGGAGAATTAGGCAGTATAAAAAGCAGAAATGATTTAAATGCAGAAGACAATAACACTATCAAATCTTCAACATATCAATCTTACAGTGATTAATATCCCATTGATTTTGGCAAGTGAGTGGTTACCCTGGCTAGAGCAGCAGATGAAGTAAAAGAAAAAGGAGACATGGAAGGTACTACTCAGTGGCTGGCTGAAGCGAAGGATCACAGCAACTAGGCAGTCTGTAATGGAAATAAAAGCACTAGTAGAATGACATTGAAGGTGCCAAGTAGTCAAAGGACTGATAAGTTTATGTATCAGTTTACTGTTAAAGATCACTCCCTATTTCCCAAACTTTTAGATTACAAACTTGTTGTCCCAGTATTTGCACAGTGCATCTAGGCAAAACAGCAAACAAAACTTAGTTTTGTTTATTAAGTAGTCCAAACAACTTATCTATGCCATAACAATTTAGCACCTGTTGGACACTATGCAACTTACACTGTAATCATATTGACCGACACTACCTACATTTTCTGTTACTCATCTTCTGTGATATTTGCATTTTTATCATGGTAACCACTAAAAGCCCAGCTTCACAAAGATCTGTCATTAAAAAGAATGGCAATATAGCTGTAAAAGTGAAAAATCTTGCATAGTAATGTGTGTGGTGTCCAGCAAATACAAACGTGGCTGTGACTTCCTCAAAGTTAAAATATCCTGCAGCACCCCTGAGTTCTCTGTGATGCCCAGGAAATCTCAGTTTATAATTTGGGAACCATAGCCCTATTCTTGCTTTTATTTTTCTCAATAGTACTTATCACCCTACATATTTTATTTCTCTCCTTTAGAATGTGAGTTCCATGGTGGTAGTAGACTTTTTGTCTTTGATAAGTGCTGTATCCCTAGTCCCTAGAATGACATCTGGAAAATGCAGGCTTTTACTAAGTATCTGTGGAATGAATTGTGTGGTGGGAGTAAGAAACTGATTATATTGTTAACAGACAGTGGCAAAAGCACAGGATATTTAAATTCATAATTTCAGACGCAGAACAGTTCTGAACAGAGTGAAGGTTTAAGTGTAGCCATGGCATGAGTGAGTGGTTGAATGAGTGAAAGTGAATAATGCCAGATAACTCTCAGTCTACTGGATAAGTAAACGACATAAATACTAAGTCACCAAAATAATGGCAAGATTTGAGGTAAGTCAAGTGCCAATGAACAGAAGGGAAGTATACCCTAAAAGAAAGCCACAGAGGGAAGAGTTCTTAAGCGAGGGTGGCAGAGTGATGGGTTGAAAGGGACAATAGGATGGGTCTCTTGTAAAGTGGGAGTTGTGGCCCACTTTACAAGACTACAGTGAAGCAGTGTCTTCATAATTATTAGGTTTCTATTAGGCAAGATGAAAAGGATAATGCTGTAAAGACTTTGCAGATGTATTTGTTCATTATGAAAGAGAGCTCCTGAATGCACAACTAGATTTTAACCTTCTTGAGGGTAGGACCTTTGTCTTATCCCTGAAGCTGTTATAACACAGACAGTAGAATAATTGATTATCTTTCTCAATGAGAAAGACCAACAGATCAGACTGACTCAAAAAAAAGCAGCTATATACAAAGAGAGAACACATGAGACACCAAACCAGATAAAACAAGTATCAGTTTCTAAAGAGATGACATAAATTGCAAGTGCATCTAAAAAAATGACCATTTCAGAATCTTGGAGTAAGCCTCCATAACAGTCTTAGTCTCCTTGGGCTGCTATAACAAATTACCACAAACTGGGTGGCTTATAGATAGAAATCTGTTTCTCATGTTTTGGAGACCGCAAAGTACAAGATCAGGGCACCAGCAGATTCAGTGTCTGATGAGGGGCCATGTTTGCTTTAACATCTTCTCACTGTATCCTCATATGGTAGAAGGGGCAAGAGATCTCTCTGGGGCTTTGTTTTATAGGGCAACAATCCCATTCCTAAGGGCTCTACCACCTAATAGTATCACACTGGGAATCAGGTTTCAATAACTACAGATATAAGTCATTTGGCATAATATTTTTTAAAATACACATTTCATGTTGTTAATGGGGTTACCATTTTTTAAACGTAAGATCTTACGGAAGTTTCTTATAGTTAAGTTGATTTGTAATGTCCTCAACTATTAGCTGATAAATCAGAGTCTCAAGGTAGCTACACATTATTTCAGGGGTTGTTATTAACAAACAAACACTGGAGGAAATATATTAGACTTTGTATAGTCTATTATACAAATGATAGTAAAACAGTGAATTTTAAAGCTTCTCCCTAACCTTTCACTGTGAATGAACAGTGATGCAGGGAGAAGAGACATTCAGAAGAAAAATCATGTATGTATTATTAAAGTAGAAGTGATGAGAAATGTTCAAAATGACAATGTATTTAAAAAAATAACCTTGTTGGAATTCTGTATCTATCATTATCACAACATACTTACTTGATGAAGCTAAAGAAAAGACAGAAGGCTAATACGGTTGGATGAGAATAGCATTTTAAAATGTTTTCAGCAAAATTCTAGAAATTTGTCCATTTTAGATCCATTATTTCCCGTTTAGTTCCAAAATCGAATTTCATACAGCAAGTGCTATTATTCCAATACTTTTTTCAATTGTCACTGGTGATCTTGATTCATCTATTGTTGCATTCATAATATCCAAAATCAGAGAATATTTCATTAATAACAGGCATTTTCAAAGCTTAAATAATACATTTCAAAAACCAATGACAGTTAAAGTAAGGGTTCTCAATTTTTGCATATCTTGTTAAGTTTTGTCGTATGAACTAAAATTTTGGTTTTGTAGACTCAGAAATACTAAATTGCCTATTGGGTTTTGTGGCTTCTTGCATCAGCTCCTGCAACTGTCCAATCTGTTCATCACGAAAGTCATTAAGTTTTTCTTCTGGGAGGAAGGTGCCAAAACATGCTTTTCCGGTTGAATTTTTTCTGTTTTCGTTAGCTTGTTGCGATAACACTGTTGCATACACCTAAAAAGATAAGGAATGAATGTTATAGATGTAAAGTTTAAATAATATTTAACATTAGAGGACCTGAAGTCTAATTCTTAGTCACCTATTTTTCCTCATCACTAAATGTAGAAGCATTTGGTTAGGAAAATATAAATATAGTTGTGAAGATACAATTCATTGATAATTTCATATATATCTATTTTTAGCACTTTAAACGTTTTAATCAACTTTTAGCAAAATGTTTAACCTGGACATAAGTAAAGAGTGGTGAGTCCATGGATGGGCTTCAGTAGTATGCATAAACCACCTCAAACCATATGCAAAATTGTATTTACACAAGTATGGACATCATTTCTGGGGCCATAGCTTTCAATAGATTCTCAAACAGGAACCATGGGTCTTTTTCCCCCCAACTTTTATTTTAAATCTGCACATGTACCCCCTAGATACAAGGGGTACACGTGCATGTTTCTTACATGGGAATAATTGCGTGATGCTGAAGTTTTGGGCACAGATCCTGTCACCCAGAGAGTAAGCCCAGTACCCAACAGGTAGTTTTTCAACCCATACCTCCCTCCAGTAGTCCATGCTGTCAATTGTTCCCTATTTACATCCATGTGTGCTCAATGTTTAGCTCCCACTTAAAATTTTATTTTTCTGTTCCTGTGTCAATTTGCTTAGGATTATGGCATCTATGCTGCTGCAAAGGACATGCTTTCATCCTATTTATGTCAGCACAGTATTCTACTGTGACATGTAATACATCTTCAAGTGAGTCTAAATTCATTCCTATGTCTTCAATTACCACTTTAATTCAAAACATACTAGAGAGAAACTTCTTAAACCTTTAAGCCTTCAATATTTAACAACCATTTGTGTCAAGAAAAACTAAGTACATTCAGCCTAATATTCCAACTATCCCCATCTGCACAAGTGCCACTGTTTTGAAACAGACTCACTCTAAAATTAATCTTTTAATTAGACAAAGTACCAGTGTATTTCAGTTCATGAAGTTAAAGTGAATGAACTGGCTAACTCTGGATAATGCTGCTACCTAATCTGGCTTGAGGTATCTAAATTGCTTGTAATTGCTGGAACGGCAGCATAGACAGAGCAACTTTAATTCCAAACATTCCAAACCTATGGAGAAATATTTTTCCATGATTTACAGAAATCCACTTATTAAGACAGAAACACCTCAAGTTTTATCAATTCCACTTCTATATGCTTCAGAGCAAGCAGGATTTTTCTACCTTGGCACTATTTTGTGTGTGTGTTGGGGGGTAGGGGTGGGGATGGGTCGGTGGGAGTCTGCATAGTAGGATGTTTAGTAGCATCTCTTGTCTCTGACCACCAGATGGCAGTAACGCCCCCTCCCAGTCTTGATAATCTAAAATGTCTCCAAACACGTGAACAAGTATCATGCACAAGAATGTTCATTGTTAAAAGCAAAACAAAATAAAAAAATGGAAACAATTGTACTTCAATAGGAGAAAAGTCAAATACACTGAAATTTACTCAGATGATTAATAAAGTCACAACAAATAAGCTATAAGTCTATGTATCAACATGGATGAATCTCCAAAAAATAAAATCTAAAAAGCAGGCTTTAAGAAAGTATTCATTTGCAAAAATGGAAAAGTTGATAAAGTAAGGAACTCTAAATAGCAAAAACAATCTTGAACAAGAACAAAATTAGAGGACTCACAACTCCCAATTTCAAAACTTAACTAGAAAGTTACATTAAACAAAACAGTGTGGTACTGGCATTAGAACAGATATGTAACACCAATAGAATGGAGAGTCCAGAATTAAATCCTTACATGTATAGCCAACTGGTTTTTGACAAAGATGGCAAATCCATTCAATGGAGGAAAGAATAGTCTGGTCAACAACTGGTGCTGGGAAAACTAAATTTCCACATGCAAAAGAGTGAAGTTGGACCCCCATCTTCTACCATACACAAAAATTAACTCAAAGTGAATCAAAGACCTAAACGCAAGAGTTAAAATCATGAGAATCCTAGAAGCAGACATATAGGTAAATCTTTATGACCTTTGACTTGGCAATAGGTTCTTAGATATGACACTAAAAAGCCCAAGCAACAACAACAATAGATAAATTGGATAGTATCAAAATTAAATACTTTGGTGCATCAAAGGACACTTGAGTGAAAAGACAAACTACAGAATGAGAAAAAAATTGCAAATCATATCTGAAAAGGGTTTATTATCTAGAATATATAAAGAACCACAACTAAAAGACAAATAGCCCAATGTAAAAATGGGTAAAGCGTATGAATAGACATTTCTCCAAAGAAGATATAGATGGCCAAGTACATGAAAAGATGCTCAAAATCATTCGTCATTAGAAAAGTGTACATCAAAACCACAATGAGATGCCACTTCACACCAAGATGTCCACTATAATTTTTTAAACCCCAGAAAAATAACAGTTGTTGGCAAGGCTATGAATAAACTGGAATCCTCATACATTGATAATGAGAATATAAAATGGCATAGCCACTGCAGAAAAGATTGGCAGTTCCTCAGAAAGTTAAACACTTAATTACCGTATGATCCAGCAAATGCACTCATAGGTATATACCAAAATAACTGAGAGCAGGAACTCAAACACATACTTGTATACCCATGTTCACAGCAGCAACATTCACAAATAGATGACATTCAGAAAATAACCTAGATGTCCACCAGCAAGTAGATAAACAAAATGTGGTATAGATATACAGTAGAATATTTATCACTCTTAGAATGAAGTTCTGATCCATACAACATGGGTAAACCTTGAAAACATTATGCTAAGAAGTCAAACATAAAAAGACATTGTATGATTCCACTTACATGAAATATCTAGAATAGGCAAATTCATAAAAGAATGGAGAATACTAAGGGCTGGGAGGAGGTAGGAGAGGGTGTTATTTAATGGCCACCAAGTTTCCGTTTGGGTGAGGAAAAATCTAGAATAATGTCTCTACAATGTATCATTTACAGTGTCCAGGAAAAAAATTCAAAATTATTACAAACAGTCAAGACAAAGGGCAATCAATGCAGACCAGTGCCTGAGATTATTCAGACATTAGAATTAGCAGAAACAGATTTTAAAGCAGGTACTATAAATGTACGTAAAAGACAATATGGTAATCATAAATGGGCAGATAAATCTCAGCAGAGAATGAGGAATTATAAGAACCAAATAAATTCGAGAACTCAAAAATGCAATAACTGGAATTTTTTAAGTGTCACTTAATAGTAGACTGGAGATGAAGGGAAGATTCA